GGGGGGGGGGGGGGGGGGGGGCAGCTTGTGCTGAGGCAAGCTGATGGAGCACCTTGGTCTTCCCAATGTTAAGGGAGAGTCGCAGGCTGTGATAGGCACCTGAGAAAAGGTCAAAGGTGGACTGCAGATCAGTCTCAGTGTGCACAAGTATAACAGTCGTCAACTCACTGAAGGTCAGTGATACCAGTCTTGGTAACTTTTATTTTGTTGTGAAGGTGCCACACGTTGAAAAACTGACCATCCATTTGATACTCAACCCCAATTCCGGGAGGAAGGCGGTCATGGATGAGAATCAAAATCACAGCAAGATAGATGGAAAAAATGGTTGGGGTGATGACGCAGCCCTGCTTGACACCAATACAGACAGTAAATGGGTCCATCTCTGATCCACTGCAAAGAACTGTGGCAGTCCATCCCATTATGGAGTAGCCTGAGGACACTGATGAACTTCAGTGGACAACCAAACCTAGCCAGCACCTTCCGTAAGGCTTCATGATTGACGGAGTCAAATCAAAGGGCTTGGTTAGGTCGTATGAATGCCATAAACAGCTCCTGGTGTTGCACTGTGCAACAACAATCATGCTGGTGGTGCCCCAAGATGTTCTAAAGCCACAATGGGATTCTGGAAGGACATCTTCAGCAAGGGGGAGGAGGCAATTCAGGATGCAAATAAGAATCTTCCCGGTAGTAGATACAAAGGCAATGCCTTGGTAGTTCCTACACACTGACTTGTCCCCTTTCTTGAAGATGGTCATGAAGTTCGCACTCTATGTCAGGTGGAACTTCCTCATTAACCCATATTTTGATGAGAAGTTGGTGAAATGTTTGCACTAGTGCTGTTCCACCAGCTTTAAAGACCACTGTGGGGATGCCATCTGGGCCTGGCGCCTTATTGTTCTTGGTCTGAGTGATGGCATGCCAGACTTCCTTAAAGGATGGGGGATCAGCAAGAGGTTCTATTATTGGGTGTTGAGGGATATACTTGGTGGTGGCAGCTGAGACCTCAGATTCACAGTTAAGTAGAGTCTTGAAGTGCTCCTTCCAGTGTTGCTTGATGGATACATTGTCCATGAGAAGGGTGGAGCCATCCTGGGATCACAGAGGTTGGGCCATTGGACCGTGGCCCATGGATGGCTTTTCTTGCTTGAAAAAAGCTTCTCATGTCATGTTGGTCAGTGAAATTCTGGATCTCCATGGCCTTCACTTGCCACCACTGGTTCTTGATGTCCTATAGCCTCTTCTGAACTACAGCACTGAGCCAGTGGTAAGCCTCTCATTTTTGCTGGTTAGAGGGTTCATTGTGTCAACAGCACAACGTGGCTCTCTTCTGATGGATAAGTGCTAGAATTTCCTCATTGTTCTTGTCAAACCAATCTTGGTGACAGTACGTGAAGTATCCAATTAACTTTGACTCAACACATGCCTTGTGAATAATGTTCTTAACCTCTCCCAATGGGCTTGGATCTCCTTGATGTCATCAGATAGGTCAGAGAGACTCTCAGTAAGGCATTGCTGGAGAGCCTCACATATAGCTTGGTCTTGGAGTGCCTTGGTATTAAATCTCTTCCACGTTCCTTTTGGTTGTTTACGGCATCGTGGTAAAAGCTGCATGTCCATGATTGATCTGACTACAGTGTGCACAATTAACAAAAGCAGTGTCAAATGCTAGACATCCCTCCTTTTCAACTGCATAGAGCTTCTGTTTCTAACCTTGTCAAATTACGTGAGATTGGATTTCAAACCTTCCCTGGTACAGGACTAAAAAATAGTGCTCACTCAGATCTCTAGCCAGTACATTTGTAAGAGGGGGAAATTCGTAAAAGAAAATATTTGTCTGATATAGTTTTTAAAAACACTAGATGCCTAAAGATGCTTAGAGATTCAGATTGCTAGAACTAATTAAAGCAAGAGATGGAGAAGAAGGTAAAATTCAGGAGCAGCATGATAAAAACAAGCTATGTATTTTACCATATATTAAAAATACAAAGACACAAATGTAATGTCATTGTGTGGTATGCTTTTATTATTTTAAGATGACTGCATTGCTCCCAAGTTATATGGGCCATACTATTAAAAATTAATTTTACAGTATGGAGAAAAAGGAGAGAAATCAAGGGACTAAGCAAGAAAAGTTAGTTTAAAATTCTCTATCCTAAGCAGAAGTGTTATTTAAAATAATAAAAGAACACTTGTAAAACTTGATTAATAAAAAGAATTAGAAATAGGCAACATTTACCAGGCATAGAAACTTGTACAAATACATTTTCTGTACACAGCAATGCCACCTGAAGCAATTCCAATCATCAGGTCAAGATTATGTAGATCCTGCAACAAGAAACTACTGTAAGAATACAGAAGCAGTTTGTGACATTTTCATTTTTTTCTACTTATGCATTCATTTATAGGTTTCCCATAGTCATGGTAGAGCAAGCATAAAATATAACCTAAAAGCTATAAAACTGAAAGAGTAAGGTTTCTGCACTATTTATTCTAATGGATATTTCTAACTCAATCTTACCTACAATGTATTATAAAAGTCTTGCCATTAAGAGAAATCCCACTGATAATGCCACCTCATAAACTAGTGCTCAGTATTCTTTGCGTCTTTAGGAAAGAGCAGAATTCCTCTTCCTTTTTTCTCCTACTTTAAATGGAAACAAGAATGTATAGTACTTGCTCCCATTAAGGGCTCATGAGCCATGACATTCCCAGCTTCCTGTTGCTGAAATGTTTTGGGAAGACACAGCAAATTATGCCTCTCTTCAGTTCCGGAAGAGATCTACCAACCAGCACCTAACATGACTCAGCTAAATGAGAGATGACCTCAGTTCTGACCTAAAAAAGATTCAGGGGCCATGCACATGCTCACATACATGATTGGACAATCCTATTCTGTTTTGGAATGGTCTTGCACCACGGAGCGGAACAAAGTCCTAGCATCTTAGTCAAGGGAAAGAAATTTCCCAAACTAAGAACATACTAGTTGTAATAAGCACTTTCTTTAGGCACCAATGCTGCTATTATTTTAATAGCAGTAAAACTGTTGCCAAGCTATATTAATTCCTAAATGACAGTACTAAAGGATGTGATTTCAACAAGACAACGCTTGTGTCAAATGTAAAGTAAGGGACTGGTTGGACTGGCATCTCATAGTGAATCTTCTGTTCTATTTCATGCAGAACTAACATATGCAACTGGACATGAGTGGGATCACAAACCAGCTTTAATACTGCATAACATTCAATCTCTATGCACATCTATCCAGGGATGGATCCAGGAGGGTATAATGGTGCACTTCCAACTCCCTTTGATTCCTGCTCCACCTAAAGTTTAAAATCAGCTGCCTGGCAGTGGTTTTTCTAGCAGGCAGTGCTGAGAGTCAATCGATTTCCTGACTCATTACAATGTACGTGATCCGTTCTAAACTCTTCAGCTAAATTCCACAGCTGTTAACAATCCTCTCTTCTTTTTAACAGTCTTGATGTTCCACCAATCAAGCTATCCTTTGTTCTGCAATTCTGCTGTGTTAGCTGCTCCTGGTAATAAAGCTCCTATTTCACAGCACCGCAGATTGCTTTTAACGCATCCCAATTAAGCTTAATTTGTTTTTGCTTCAATCTTAAACTGCAAAATACAACCCTAGGCTCCAAATGTGTTAGTAAAGCTCCTAGTTTATTTTTAATTGGAGAAAAAATGTTTTATATCTGATGATGCAACTTACCATCTGCACCCCCCTTTTCAAAATTCTAGATCCACCCAACCCTTTCATATATACACAAATAATTATCTAGAGGCAGCGCCTCAATGAGTAGGAGAATGAGTGAATAGTAAGCTTTAAATTTGCTATTTTCTCTTTGTACCGCACTTTTCATTGCTAAATTTAAATTCAATTAAAACTATAATTTTTTTCAGAAATGTTCATTTGGAAATTTCTAGTCACAGGTCATATTTGACATTACTGTGGATAAGTGAAAACGTTAATGTAAAAATAAAATCACAACACAGGTCTTGTACAATCCATGTCTAATAATCTTACAACATACAAAATTGTACATGTTTAACACAATCAAACTATAGATTTTAGTTGTCTTAACTTCTAGAATTTAATGTTTTAGGCAGTGGCACTGGCATTACAAGGATTCAAAAAATGTTATACAGGATGATTTAAGGTAATGCTAGATTGGCATAAAAATAAAGCCTTCAGTATCTTAAATGCTCCTCTAGATGGCTCACTATGCTCAGTTAGTAATAACACTTAGTTCTATACATCTAACGCTAATTTTTTTCTATACCTAAAAAGTTACTGAATAGAACAAGTGGCATATAACTACAAAAATAATTGTAGGAGGTAGAGCGCACTTCTTTCAATTACAGGTATTTCAGGATATATAAAAGGACTGAACAAGCACTAAATGCACCCTGCAACACAGATCATCAAATGCTATGCCACCTAACTCCAGTACTTTAGCAATTTGTGGAAAAGCACAATCTTGTACTGAGAGAGATTTAGTATCCGTCTATAATTTACACTCCATAAAAAGTAGGAATACTGGCACAATAAACTGAACTAGAACTCTCTTGTCTATTAAATTAATATAGAAAATGGTAAATGAGATAGCTGTTCAAATGAAATTAACTTCATTTAACATCTTTAGGCAGGATTCAACCATGCAAACCAGGATTCAACCACTCAATTACTTTTATTATGTTGACTTAAGTGCAAACAGCATCTAAGTGGCCAATGAAATGCTGGATGTGAGAAAGAAAGAGGAGACAGCCCTCAAGAATTTTTAAAAATAAGAGATTGACAAGTGCTGCTAGATAGGTCATGCAAATCCACCATTCCTTTTATTTTAATTTTTTTGTTTGTTTGTTTTTTGTTTTTTACACTTCCTTAGGAAATGTCTAAAGACTCTCAGGCAAGAACTATATTTAAGAGAGTAAACGTAGCTGTGGTAGTGATACATTTAACTTTGCAAGTAAATGCAAACTCAAAATAGCAGAAACTGTACAGACTCCCACTTGTCTACCTGTGAGGAAGACCATGAAAGCTGGATTAACATCAGGTCAGCTATTAAGCAGATGGCAAAGTTCCCTTTCAGATGCAGACTTAAAAGTAAAGCTCGTAACTGAACACAGTTTCAGTAAATGTTTCAGTGTCTACACATGCAGTACTTATTAGAAGAGACAAAACTAACCAACTGTGCCATAGGTTAGTACTTGAAAACACAAGTACTATCCTACGGCAAAGTGTTACTCCACAGCACTGCATATACAGGCGCTGATGGGGCTGGCTGGGGCATGAGGGTGCTTCAGCGTTGGGCCTGTCTGCCAGCTAGCTCTGCACTGAAGCACCCTTGTGCCCCAGCCAGTCCCTCTGCAGCACAGAGCCAGACCAGATCAGCCCCAGGCTGGCAAGCTGACCCCCAAGGCTCCCTGCCAGCTAAAGCTCCTCCAGCTCAACATGCCGCAGTCCCAAACACATATTCAAACACAGTGCCCAGGAGCAATAAACTCTGGCATAAACATGTTAATCACAGACATGCTTCCTTATGAGTACAAAAGATTCCATTTAGTCAAAATTTCTTGTGGCATGAATATTAAGAGTTGCATAAAAATATAAAACATGGTAGCGATATGTTATCCAGGAGAACATGTACCTGAGCTGCGTTAAGAGTAATTCTATCCCACAAGTTGGCCAATTGTGACAGCAGCAGAAGCGTACAAGTCCAACTCAAGACAATTCACGTTCACATTACACAAAAGAAGTGCTCTTCATTATGTTTTTTGGTTTTAATACCATAGAAAAATAATTGGACCATTAATCTGGCAGGTTACAATACGCTAGGGAACTTATCTTTTTAGAAAGCTGAATATTACAGAACTCATTTTCAAACATGTCTTGTCATCTGCTTTCGTGCTAAATTCACTCACTCTGAGCCTGGATTCATGATATGTGGAAGAAATAAACAGTCTGAATTCTTAAGGATACCACAGAAATCAGGTGGGTTCTGTCAGACTTATTTCTATTTAATTTTCCACAGTACTCATGACAACAATATAACCTTTCAAAAAAAGCTCTTATATTTCTTGTGAACACATCTCCAAAGGATAGGGCTGTTACAAAAATCTAACTTATTAACTGACACAATTAGAGACATAGCCATATTAAATGGAAAGTTAGAAAAATAATCCATATTTCTAAACTGAAAGTTACATGCAGTATGGCCAATATTAAAATGCTACTGTTTTGCATTGTTAGTAACAGGCCCATCTTAAAAACGGTATTCATATATGAATATTTTACAAGTGAGAAATGACAATGTAAACATACTCTACCACTGTGTAATTCCACTCCATAAAATTCAAGGGTTCGTGCTATATTTATGTAACAGGACTCTGCTTCAGATTGCTTGAGGCCACTAAGAAGAAAAAAAACAACAAAGGTGTTTAATATATTTAAAATTAATAAGGACAAGAAATTAAGGTCACTGAACAGACAATTTTAACTTATTATTAAAGGTGCCTTTGCAACGCAAAAGAATCTTTTAATCCAAGGAGTGACAGGTTATCTATAAATATCAAGCAGCAGCTAATTAGCTAAGTATGTTAGCTCCTTCTAGACTCCTTCCTTACACTGTGGAGAAATGCATCACACAGCTCCACTGGAAAACTCTCAAAGTCATATTCCCCAAGTAATTGCAATTAAAAATAAAAACAAATGAACAAAACATGGACAACTGTTTACAAGGGTGGGGAAAAAAAAGACAACCATCCAAAAAACAGGGAAAGGAAGTGCACAATGGAAAGAGGAGCCTTAGGGGAAAAAAAATGGACAAAAAGTAAATTGTAAAATTAGGAACCAAAACTGAATCTAAAGTTAAATCTACTTTAGCATCTGATGAATGAATAAAAGAAAGCCAGGAACCCTTAGGATGTTTTATTTGCCTCTACCACAAGGTTGAAAAAAGAGAAAAGAACGAGCTGTGAGATTTAAGAGGGGTTTCTCTTTTCTTTCCAGCATAGGAGAGGATGAAGATAATAGATTTCTTAACTGGTAAGAAATTTAATCAGCAGATATCACACAAACTGACTTTGAGATCTCTGGCATGTTTAGGGCAAAACAAAATTTGTTTTTTGGCACAGGTAACATGGAAACTACCCTGGGTGCGAATCTTGGATTACTTCTAAAAGCCAATTTTTCAAAACAACCAAAAACAAAACCTCATAGCGAAGTGCTTTCTGGATAGACAATGCAATGTACTAACTGATCATTTCAGAACAAGTGCCTGCCAGCTAATAATACCTTAACAGAAAAAGCAAAATGATGACAAAGATGGCCTAGCACAACAGAATCTGGAATCAAACGCAAAAGCAGCCAAACCTTTACAAGACGAACTCTGGAAAATAACTGAGAAAGGCCTCTTGGTCTGACAGCCCCAAGACTAAGCCTTTAAATTAAGCTGCCAAAGGCAACTTAAACAAGAAATTAATGCCATGGCAAGTGTATTAGAAAGTAATGTTAGCAACAACATACAATGACTTTCCAGAGGTAGTAGTAACACTTGAAGTAATAAAATCCTTCTTTAAAATCAAACGTCAGTTTTTGTATGCTGGATCAAATAAGATTCCTAACCATCCTCTGATGGGCCCACAGTGCAGTGGTGTGGGAGGGCATACTGTGTGTGGGGCCCCAGAGGCCCATGCCCCTCTCACTAGTGTGGCTAAGGGGGTGTGCAAGCCCTCTACTGCTTAGAAGTTGAATAGCCCCTGGCTAGAGTGTTTGCTCTTATGGGAGATAGGCAAGGAAGCCAGAATAGAGCACAGTATGGGAGGCCTGAGTTTTCAAGTGTCATTTAGGGAGTCTACAGTTATTCTTTATTTGCAGGTTGTCACTTACTGTAAGCCACTGTGAGCCTCTGGATAGGGCAGGATATAAATCTAAATAATTATTATTATTCAGTCCAGTAAAGAGGAAACCACATTTCATTTTCAGCTAATGAGGGGATCAGACCTCTGCATGATTAACTAACAATATGAAGCTGATAACCATGTCACTCTCAATGCCTCTGGCACTCCATATCCAGAAGTACTTCTACAAACTGGTGCCAAAGAAGTCATAGGTGGGAAAGTAGGGCTGGAAAGGACCTCACGTTGTCATCTAGTCAAGCCCCTGTTCAAGGAAGGATTGTCCCTCAGCCATCCCAGCCAAGTGTGTCCATCCTGCTCTTGAAAATTTCCAGAGATGGAGATTCCACAAATTCTCTAGGTAGCCTGTTCCAGTGCTTGACCACTCTCCTAGTCAGAATGTTCGTTCTAATCTCCAACCTAAATTTCCTTTCCTGAATCTTGAGGCCATTGCTCCTAGTCCTGTCCCCTGAAGCCACAGAGAAAAAAGCCCATCTCCATACTCTCTCTAATTACCATTTAATTATCTGAAGACTTATCAAATCCCTTTTACCTCCTCTTCAGACTAAATAACCCTACCTCTTTCAGCCTAAGCCATGCTTTCCAGGCCCCTAATAATTTGTCGCTCTTTACTGAACTGTCTCCAATCTCATCCTTCTGGAAGCATCGGGTCCAGAAATGAATACAGTACTCCTAGTGAACCCTCACCAATGCTAAAGAGGGCAGAAGATTCACAAGTAGCACTCCTGTTGATACAACCCAGTGTGCTGTTGGCTTTTTTGGTAAGAAGAACACACTGTTGGCTCATATTCAGCTTATGGTCTATCATAACCCCCAGGTCCTTCTCTGCAGTACTGCAGCCTAGCCAGTCATTCCCCAGCCTGTAGTTGTGCATACAATTATTCTGTCTCAAGGGCAGGGCTTTGCACTTGTCCATGCTGAACCTCATCTGATTGAATGCAGATATTTCTCCAATCTATACAGGTCATTCTGGATCCTACCCTGCTCCCCAGAGTGTCTGCAACTCCACATAACTTGGCATCATCCACAAATTTTCTAAAGCGCACACTTAATCAATACCAGGTCTAGGAAAGATGCCTGGGGAACCCTGTTTTGAAGTCAATTACTTCAAAACAGTAATGGAGTTATCCTCTTTCTCTAGCTACTTGCTAAGCATGCTGCTGCTACAATGGCTATAATCTTCACTCAAAAAAACATGTTCCTAATTTGGATCAGATAGCTGTTTTGAGACAGTATCCCTTTTCTACAACTTCAGACAGCCAAAACTCCAAGGTACAACAGAGAGTAAAGAATAAATAGAAAACTTGTTAAAATCATAAATATGTAGACAAATCCTAAAGTAGATTTTGAATTTTTTAACAAGATGAAGCAAGGACAGATAGCAAAGATTCATCAAGTTCTTCAGGAAATTCAGTACAGTTCACAATACTTCCCCATCCATCTCTCACCCATAGTAATGCAAAAGGGAAAGAAACGCATAAAAGTCTTATGTTTTTACTAATGTTTTTATGAAGTTTTTACTAATACTTTACTAAGTTGATACCATGTTTGTGCAACTAGGGTACCTGTAGACACTGCTCTAACACACTGTAATTACAGTATGTTGGAGCAGACTCGATGAATTGAGTCTGCTGGACTGTGCTAATTAGCCCATGCCAGCAGCCCCTGTGTGTTGTGTATTCAGTGTCCCTGCACTTCAAAATAGCGGTGGGGGGAGAGACTTTAACTAAAGCTCACTGAATGAACGTTAGTTAACGCACCCTCACTGCCATTTTGAATCATGGAATGCTGAATACATGAAATGGTACGGGTGCTTTAATTAAAGCGGCTCTCAGACCTGCTCTAATTAAAGCACCCCTCCCAACTACCCCCCTGAGCACCTGTAAAAGTGCTTCGAGATTCCTTGAATTCTCTAAAGAGAGTATGGGAAGAGCTGTTCACAGTGTACTTCCTGCAGCTCTGTGGTCTCCAAAGCAAGGAAATAATTTAAAGAGAACCTGTTCTAGACACTGTATATAGTTGGTGATGTTTGTACCTCACCATCTGGCATTCTAAGTTATAGTGCCCCCCACCCCCGGCCCAATGCTAACAATGGAGAATATTACAGTCTTATCTCAATCCCCAGAAGAAACTGAACTGAACCCTGAAGAGCCTTAGGCTCATGAAGCAAAATGCTCTGTCTGTAAAATATTTGTTTCCTCAGTTTTTAATACCTGATTTAGACAAATGGTGCACTTAAACTCCAATATTAATACTCTGAGGTACCTGCAGCATCACAAACCACAGCACCACAAACATTTGACTCTGAAGTTTGAATGGTATAGAAAGAAGTCATGCAAAAACAGAAACCTCCTTCCTCAAAGGCCCCATTTTTCATTCATATCCATAGTGACTTCTAATCGGTTATCTGAAAGGATCCAAATGAGTAAACATCTCCCACAATGACAGTAAGATGCGATGAGAAGCCAACCTCACCAGAACTCAGAATATAAATCTTTGACTGCACCACTATCTCTGGCTCACAATATCTGCACAGATTGCAATCATGGATTGAAGGAGAGTAGGGAGTAAACTTCAAATTTTACACTCTGAACAAGGAACCAGACATGATTAGCGGCAACAAGGAGAGCCAACTCCTTATCTTGGTACGCAATTTCACTTATGCCCAGAATTCAGCTGTATGACTAATCCCAGTAGGCTACTTCCATGGCCTAGAGATCTCAATGGTGGAGAGAGGAGACAAAATACAGAGCAGCAGGGAAAAGGACTGCTGGGGGAAAAAAAAAAAAGGAATCACGCTTGCAGCCTAAATCTTCGAGCTCAAAGTAGAACTCCTATGAAAACAAAGATGCCTGCATCACAAAAGGAGCACAGTGAAGCTAACAACAGCCTACAAGGATCTGTACAATGGACTGCAATGTTTATCCTATTATCTCCTTCTGTGGCCTTTGTGGGTGTGATTAATGCAATCAACCAGACTGCAGGATTTGTTCCACGTGAAAGAAACACCCTGCTTCGGTGTTATCCACCTCAGTCTATCAAAACATTAATCTTCAGTGGAGACAAGACTGCTTTTCTCACTTTTTAATTTTTTTTTTATTTTCACACTTTTGCTTCTTGCCCAATTACAGTGTTCTAGTTCCACCTTTCCAACAAGCAGAACAAAACTAAGGCTGCATACACACATTGACAGCATCTGGAAGAATTCTCTTGGGTTCTTTCCCCTGGTAGAAAAAACTTACCCAGAGATGCCTGAATAGACATTCAAATGCTGAGCCCTTGAATAGCAGAGATCTTACGGTGCTGACGCTATACAGAGAGAGGGCCCTTGTGCACATAGCTGTGTGCTCTGCAAGATCCTTCATTCTGCCCAGAGACAGATGGCAGCAGTGCACAGGGCAACCCTAATTAGCTGATCCACAATGCTCAGAGTTATTCTACATCTGCTTGCAGCACAACGTGGGATAGTGAAGAGGGCGTGTTCTGTTCCCTGCTTGACTGGAGCAGCAGAGTACATATCAAGTGACACAATGTCTTCATGTCAGGAGAGGAAGAGAAAAAACACCTCAAGATGCTGGAGGACTCTGCTGTGGCTTCTGTCAGAAAAGAACATTCATTCTCCCAGGATAAATTCTCCTGGTAGTATTTAACTCCAGTTGTTTCTAGATAATCTCTCTCCTGGAGTGCCATTTTCACTATGGGAGAAAAATTCTGAACATCTGTACTCTCGTGTTTTCTATTGGGAAGCAAACTACTTTCCCAAGAGAAGCTGCAAGTTATATACGTGGCTTGAAATTTTCAAATGGGACAGATAACAAATTTCTGTGTTAAACTCAAAAATAAAATGCTATATATACCCAACATAGCAATGAAATTGGTATCCTAAAATGATCAAATTCCTGACCAGGCTTCTAATCTTAGCAAGAAAGTGTCAGCCTTAAGGTATCAAGAGCTACTTAATGCATCTCTGAAATGAAACCAAAGACGGAAAATTCCAGCTCAAGAAGAAAAAGACTGCCTCTAATTGTTTTCATAGCTTAATCAGATTTCAGCTTCCCCAGGCGGCAGAATGTGTGTAAATGTCAGCTGTACCCATCAGTGCAATACCATTGTGTCAAAAATGCCCACAGTCAAAGGAAATGTGTTTCTGTATTTAACAACAATTTCAGTTTACATTACTCTGCAGGAATCAAGGAATCTTGCCAGCAATTTTATGCAAATTTCACCCATGCTGAAGAAAGATTTTTAAACTAGAAAAAAAAATACCCCTAATTATCCAAAACTTTCAAATGGATCATTTGTCCAGCTGTAGTCAACTGCCATGTCTTCTTTTATACCCAGAAAAGGCTATCAGTCATGATCTTTGAAGCCCTCCATCCAAGAAGCTTTCAACAAATTACCCTCAATGGTTTACATAAATTTAATTTATTTAAACTGTTGAACATATTTCACAGATTTCATAGACATTAGGGCTGGAAGAGATCTTGTCACTGGGCGGGGTCCTGCAGGAGGGCCGTGATCTACTCAAGGCCCCCTTCCCATGCCAAGTTGGCCCAAAGGCACCCTCAAATTCTCGCCCGCCACGTCTTTGATGACACAATGTATTTGGGAGGCTGCCTTTTACGCCCTCTTGGTCACGTCTTGAACACTCAGTCCCCGCCGTTTCCCGGACCCCTCGTGGGTACCGTTCTGCAATGGGTGCTGCAGGGGCACCCTAGCCTTATGGGCTATCCCCGGCTCCAACCCCCCCTGTACCATGCCCCAAGCCTCGCAGATGGAATAGACGTTGTTCGGTCTTGGCCTTGCTATAATCTGGCCTCTTCTCCTCTCTGGGCCCTACCTCTTTCGATCTGCGCCCTCTCCAGCGCTAGGGCTCTCCACGGCCCTGTCTCACTCTGCCCCGTCTCTGGGGCTCCTCAAAGCACTGCCCCCCCCCGTCTCTGTGGCTCACCGCACCCACACTGGGGCTTCTCAACTGCCCCCTCTCTCTGGGACTGGGGTCAGTGCACCCCGAATGCTGTGCCCTCACTGGTGCTGGGGTCCCCACACTGCTGCGGGTCCCCTATGAGGTCTCCTCCACCCCCTAATAGCCTCATCCAAACCACCGGTAACAAAGCAAACAAACCGCAAGCCCCTTGGCTATAACATAAACGGACGCCACCCAGCTATAACCCCGTTCAAGCCTACCAGGGATACTTCATCCCGCAGCAGTGTCAGACGCTGCTCCTGCATTCAGGCTTATCCTCTCTTCCCTGAGAGAGAGCTCCTTCCTCCTTGGCTGCTGGCAGGGATCTGCCAGCCTGGCCTCAGCCCCTGGGCTTTATATGGGAGCCAGGCCCTGCCCCTTCTAGTCAGCTGACCTCCTCTGGTTGCCCTGGCAACCTGCAGCTGGGCTCATCACTCACTGCTAGGGCTCCTTCCCTAGCAGTTTTGTCCTTCTTAGGAGCAGGGCACCTAGGTGCTCTGCAACAGACCTCCGGAGATCACCGGGTTCAGCTCCCTGACCAAGGGGCAGGAAGTCAGCTGGGGTCAGATCACCCCAGCAAAATAAGCATCCAAGCATTTCTTAAAGGTATCCAAAATGAGTGTTTGCACCACTTGGGGGGGGGGGGGGGGAGTCTATTCTAGACTCTGGAGACTTGGATGGTAAAGTAGTTTTTCCTTATGTCCAGTCTAAAATGATCTTCCAGCAGTTTGTGACCGTTAGACCTCGTCTTCCCTTGGGGTGCCCTGGTGAACAGATAGATGTTCTCCCAGTTCCTGATGCACACCCTTATATACTTATAGGCTGCCACTAAGTCACCCCTGAGCCTTCGCTTCTCCAGGCTGAAAAGTTCCATGCCTCCAAGCCTCTCCTCATAAGGCCTGTTTCTCTTGACCTCTAATCATGCGCATGGTTCTCCTCTGGACTCTCTGAAGGTTCTCCATGTCCTTTCTAAAGTGTGGAGCCCAGAACTGGGTGCAGCACTCCAGCTGCAGCCTCACCAAGGCCGAGTATTTATAGATTTGTTTTAAAATTCAACTTGATTAAACAATGAGGTGCAACCACAGAATATACAGCAAGTTCAGAACTCACGAGGTTTTTTTGTTCTTTTTTTTTTTTTAAAGACAATCAGAAAGCTTAAGTTTATTTAAAACAGCCTAACACAACACTACTCATCAGCCTAAAACTTTTAGAAACTTAAAAAAACAAAATAGGGAGAAGACAGTTTAAAGTTCATGAGACAAATAATGAAGAAAAGGTGTTGCAAAATACTAAATTATGATTACCTGTGCTGTTCATGCAGCGATTCAACTTTGATTAGAAAATCTTTGTTCTGATCTGGTAAAAAGTGGAAATTTGAAAGGTATCCTGAATGATGTTCTGTGGAGTTAAAGTCTCCAAGCTGAGCTGTTAGAAGGAAAAGAAAAACACATCCATAAGATTTCATAGTTAGCCTCAAACTGCTGCAAAATATTGTTTAGGAGACTTTCCTCCTCCACGCTAAATAGCACATTAAAGTAGAATAAATTTAGTTATGCAGAATTGAAAGAAAGAATATTTTCCACTGGAAGGTACTGTTTGTTTAGCATACTGTCCCTTACAACAACAGTGCATGAACAATCTCTTCCAACATAAAAGGTATAAATATAAGTAAACAAAAACTAAGTTAATATTTTGTTAATTTACTTATTTATTTACAAAGTTTTGTTACCTATGTTACAAAAACACTGTTAAAAGGAAACTACTTCACCAGCGCAAAGATAGTCTAAATCAGGGAAGTCATACATAGTCAATTTGATATATATCATATACAATGCTTCCGCAAAGTAAGAATCTGCAACCTGAACATCTAAGAGCCCTATCCTTCACACTGTCAAATATTCCAAACTGTTGTAGCTCTTTGCTGTCATAGCCAGTTCATTTATCATTTATCCATCTGTCTTGTTTACTGTTAAATCTAACATGAGCTATGCACCTAACCTGCATGTGAAAACTACCACAACTGTACAAGTGACTATTACACACAAATGGCCAAATACGTAAAGGACAGAAACAATATTTTGTACTAGTATCCTCAATCCTGTTTTTCCTATTGAACAAAACTAAATACAACAAGAAAATCAAAAGTATTGTTACTATGTAAAGACCATTTCTGTCCTGTAGTGGTGGAATATTGACTAGAAATTCAAAGGTAGTATCATGACTTGTAACGTTGTAGACAAAAGAAGAAAAAAAAAAAAAAAAAAAAGAGCCATTTTCTAAAACATGTTTGAAGCCTTGCATCTAAAAAAGACCTGACAGCAAGCAGTATTCCGTTTTTTTTTTTTTTTACTGTTTCCTTTCTTCTTTTCTCTTAAGTCCAATACATAACTGGTAACAGATTTACATAAAACAGATTTCACTGGAATCAATTTAAAACACAAGCATTAACAAATTCAAACAGAGAAGCTCTCATGTAAGAAACAAAAACATTATACACAGTAGTACAGTACTATGCATACCATTAGAACCTGAATGGTTTGGGTTTTTCTCTAATCATAAAACATGGTGCTTACATAGAAAGATTTTAAACATTAAATTGGTTGAACATGTTATTTGCAAGATTTGTGGCTGGGCACAAGAACAACCATTTGTCTAGGCAGCAGACACAACAGTAATACAAGAAAGCCTCGGCAAAGTCACATAATGAAAGGTTTTATTTTTTTTAAACAAGATGCCATTACTTTCTACAGACCATCTAATACAAAAAGGTTGTCTAGCTTGAATTAACTAAACCAACTTCCTCTCAATTTCTCCATAAAATATTTTTACAAGCACTATTATTAGAAAGGGAAAAAAGCCAGAAAATGCCGTAATTTTGAACACTTGCCATTGAAGACAAAACAAAATTAAATTTATGTCCTGTGAACCTGAATCACTGAGGTAACAAACCAGTTCTAGAACGAGAGCTGTCAGCAACTAGTAAAGTCTCACCATATATGCACAATAAGAAAATGGGTGGACAAGTACAGGGAGTAGTTTAGCAAGCTTACCATTACAGCTGTATTATAATTCGTTCTGAAGTAACTTTAAAATTTGGACTAGAAGGTAAATAGTTAGCAGAAAAGCTTAGACTTAACAGTTCTCAGTGATGGCAGAAGAAGGAGCAATGGTCTCAAGTTGCAGCAAGGGATGTTTAGGTTAGGCATTAGGAAAAACTCTCTCATGAGGATGGTAGTAACGCACTGGCAAAGGTTACCTACCAAGAGAGGTGGTGGAATCTCCATCCTTGGAGGTTTTTAAGACCTGACTAGATAAAGCTTTGGCTGGGATAATCTAGTTGGGGATGATCCTGCTTTGATCAGGCAGGCAGCTGGACTAGATGACCTCCTGAGGTCCCTTCCAACCTTAATTTTCTATGATTCTATGATTAAAATTCAATAAATAAACATGAATTTGAACAATTGTTGAATATTAATTCTTTTAGAAACCAAATAAAATCCCTCTGTAACAAAACAAAAACAATTACTATTAAATGTCAATGCAGCTCTGGAACTATGTTTTTTGTTTGTATGTCTGTTTTTAATAAATGCACACATCTCAAAGCCTAGGCTGTAAAACAAGCCTAAAATGATTGACACAAATTAGCATGACTAGTAATAGTCATTAAACAACTCACAACCTACCATATTTGACAGAAAAATATTCTCATTTTCTCTTTTCCAGCAATTAATACTTTCCTCAATCCCTTCCATGAAATGCAACCCAATATTTTTTGTTATTTTTGCCAAAGAAGGCTTTTTGAAGTCAGTTTTAAGTATGTTCTTGTCGACGAGAGACTAGGCTGCCAAAAATAATGCAATTTTAATTCTCAAAATGTATTTGTGCAATAGGTAAAATATATTTTCTTAGGAAAAATTTTACCTTTGCTAACAAGGCTAACTGTTGCTCCTTGATTCATTATGACATGGCTTCTTGCTGCTCATCTTCCAAACATGGAGGCTCCTCTTGTCTTTTTTCTTCTTCCTCTTAGCTATCTGAGCTCATATCAACAAGGGAGCAATTTAGACTACTATCTAATTTTCAAACTCCCGTGGCAACTGCCACAGTTGAAGAGAAACTATACATGCTGATTAGTAGACATTATGGAAGAGTAGCTAGCCATCTTGTGCAGGATGTTTTCATTTTATTTTTTATCCAAAAAACCGATGAAAGGAATTAGGATAAATCAAAATCCTAAGAACAAATGTGACTTCTCTACTGAATTATTCCA